TGAAATGGTGACCTTATCTGTGCACCAAACAAATAAAAACCAAGTTATTTATCTTACTGTTTCAAAGAATTGTATGCAAATATATTTTGGAAGGAAGAGTAGATTCAAACGTTGGCCTTCTCTACTAAGATAAACTAACTTCTTACGTCAGATTATTTTACAGGTAGTCCTCGAATTATGACCACAATTGCACCAAAATTTATGTTATCTCGAGCACCGCATAATGGAGTGAGCTCCCGTTCCTTGTCCCAGCTTCTGCCAACCTAGCAGTTCGAAGGCAGGTAAAAAGAAATGCAAGTAGAAAAATAGGAACCCCTTTGGTGGGAAGGGAACAGCGTTCCATGCGCCTCCGGCATTTAGTCATGTCAGCCACATGACCACGGAGACGTCTTCGGACAGGACTGGCTCTTCAACTTTGTAACGGAGATGAACACCCCGCCCCCTAGAGCCAGAATCGACCAGTAGGTATGTGCGAGGGGAACCTTTACCTTTACCTAGGCTTCAGAACTGTCTTTGGTCAATAAACAATCCAGAAACTTGCTGTAAAAAGGAAAATCAATCTCAAAGACTCCCAAGAGGCCTGAGCTTTGTGCGTAGGTCCTAAAGGAGCCACAAGAGAAGAGCCCAAGGACGCTTCTTGGTTGACTTAAAAACCCAACCTTGAAGTATGCCCCGTGCAAGAAGCAAAGTCAGAAATGAAGGCCCGAACGAATCCTTAGTCGTTTTGCCTGACTTAAATATCTTGTTGTGGCCCGATTTGGACAGTGAGGAAATTGGGGAGGAACATGGGCCTGTCCTGGAGTCTGGGGAAGGCTCGGATGAGGGCTCTGCATCGGAGGCCGAGATGGGGCCAGGGTCATCCGACAGTTATCAGCTGCCTTTGGAGTCAGACACCAGTGGGGCAAAAGAACAGCTGGAGCCTGTTTCCAGTGTGCGTATGCACAGAGCTGCCAGGAGAAGGGAACAGCTAAGGAACAAGGGTCGATTTGGGAGTAAAACCACAAGGGACTTGGTCGTGAAGCCACAGGCGGATTGTGACTGGCCCCTCCCCTAGGGAATAAAAGAGGAGTGAAAGGGGAGTGGGGTTTTGCAGGACACAATTAGTTCATTTAAGTGAAGATCTATTCCCGCATTCTTGCCAATTACTGTCTGCTACAGTGTGGCATCTGAAAGATATCAGCCTGGCAACTCTCCAAGCCTGATAAAGGTCTGTAATTGGCAAATATCTTGAAAGACTGTCGGCCAGGGACTTTGCAGGAGGGGAGTTCACTGTAAAATACATAAAGGGGGTTTATTGGGATGAGGAGTCATCTTCGTGCTATTGGGGAAGCCTCGGTCAGAACATATCTTGAAAATTAATTCCAGAGAAAAGGGTGGTTGCTATTAACTCAGAAATCAGAGAGTGAGTCAAGAAATGAAGCTCAGGCTTCTCTCCACGTCACTTGGGCAGAGTGACTAACAGTATCTATCACTCCACCTTCCCTGGGGAGATTGGGGGGTGGGTGGAAATCCCTTTCTCTCTGCTGTGCAATTCTACTAATTTCCAGAGAAACTTCACGAGCCAAGAGGGACTGAGATGGAATCATTAGAATAAAGATCTAGAAAGAGCTTTAAAAAGCCAGTTACTTCTCTGGAACTTCCTGCTCCAAACAATGGGAGCTTCTGGGTTATCTGCCAAAGGTTAGCTTCTGCAAGATTAATTTGTGACTCATCAGAGATAAAACTGCAAAAGGAGAACACTTGCAAAGCCTTCCTTTTTGAGCGGGCTCCCAACTTCTTTCTGCGGAGGTGCCAAATTCTGCCATTATTTCATTGGTGACAAATTCTGCCATCACTTCAAAATGATCGGAAAAAGTAGAGGGGAAACCAAGAAGTTCATAACTCTAAACTGGGCAGAAAAGATAGATTCTTATTCTCACTGCTCACACTTGCAAGCTATAGAATTTTAACCCTCTGATGATGAAAAAGCCATTATTCTGTCCATCTTCCATCAACTTTTTTTTTTCATTTCATAGTCAATACAACCATTGTATGCCATTCTCGTCCCACTCTCTTGTTGCTGGCATCTCTCTGCCAACAGAAGAATGCACCTTACAAAACAAGCTCTTTACTTCACGATATCTATGTACTACTCACAATGTCATGTCTGTTTGGTAGTTTGTAACTTTTAGCTGGGTGAAATGCTGCGTCTTAAGGCAACCATCTTTGAACCCATATACCTCCAATGAACTAACTGAAAGAACGTCTCTAAAGACCAAAACCTATGACTCCCATGGAATTCAAACTTGGCAAAGTTTTGGCCACTTTAATGCTGCTGTATTGCTGTAGTCAGCCGGTCATCATTTCCATTGCTCCCTGCCAGTTTCCTCCAAGGAATGTCACTGGGGAAGCCAACAGGAAATCGGAAGTCAGTCTTGTTGCCGCTGGTTTTTTTTTTTTTTGTCCAGCTGTGTTAATTTTGTTTCTCTGCTTAGGGAAATATATCTCTCTCAATGGGTCACAGATTGCTTGGAATCTATTAAATTAACCCTCAATCTCAACAGAGTGGTAGCTGAAGCCTTTATTACTTGTTAGACTCCTTCCTGTTTTGCTGGTGATACTCTATGCCTTTAAAAGAGTCTTTGGGCACTTGGCCATGAAGGAGTCTTGTGGGAAAGTCTTAAGTCTTTGTGTGACTCAGAGACTGGTTGTGAAAGGCAGAGAAGTTCAGCGGGGTAAAAAGTTGGCTCAGCAGTTGAGATTAAGTTTAAATCACTTTCCATGACAGGAAGGGGGACTTTCATCAGAAGTCTCCTTTGAGATCAACATCACCGATTTCTGAGAAGGCACTGGAGGCCAACCCAAGTTTTTGCTGTTGCCCTACAGAACCTTTTATAGAGTTTTTGAATCTCTAATACGATCATGTTCAGCCTGGTAGCTTCCAAACTTCCCTTCCCAGCCAACACTCTTTCATGTAAGAATTATGGAAGTAGAAACTAGAAAGGCCTCAGGATGAGAAAAAAAAAACCATGTTTCATTCTTTGAGTCAGGTATCCAAACACTCATGTTGTAACCCAACAGTCTTCAAACTTGGCAAGCTTAAGACTTGTGGACTTCAACTCCCAGAATTCCTGAGCGAATTCCTGACTGGAGGAGGAATTCTGGGAGTTGAAAAAATTATCTTCCATTCTTTGAGTCAGGTATCCAGACACTCATATTGTAACCCAAGGGTCTTCAAACTTGGCAAACTTAAGACTTGTGGACTTCAACTCCCAGAATTCCTGAGCTAACATGACTGGAGAAGGAATTCTGGGAGTTGAAAAAATTATCTTCCATTATATGAGTCGGGTATCCAAACACACATATTGTAACCCAAGGGTCTTCAAACTTGGCAAGCTTAAGACTTGTGGACTTCAACTCCCAGAATTCCTGAGCGGATTCCTGACTGGAGGAGGAATTCGGGGAGTTGAAGTCCACAAGTCTTAAAGTTGTCAAGTTTGAAGACCTATTAAAGTTTTCTGTAAGTGGGATTTCCCCCCCAGTACAATGAGAAGCATGGTGGGGGCAAAAAAATATATATTCAGAAGACCTTTTTAATATCAGCACTTCCCAACTTCCAAATTCCCTTGGGAAGGACAGGCGGCTTTCACACTAAATTTAAAGTGAGCTATTAAGAATATTCTGTACTGCCTTTATAGGCAATTAAATTTCCTTCTCCAACTGAATGTCAAATTGTAAGTTTTCTTTAATGTACAGCTGGGCTCCAATGCTTGTTTTAAGACACCATGTCTCAGCCACTAAGTTTAAAATGCATGGACATCAACTCCCCAGAATTCCCCAGTCCCCAAGCATCAACTCCCAGAATTCCCCAGTAACTTACTTTATAATACAGATAGTCCTCAACTTACCACAGTTCATTTAGTGACGGTTTGAAGTTACCACGGCACTGAAAAAAAAGGGAGCTGTGACTGTTTTTCAAAAGTGACGATCTTTGCAGCATCCCCACAATCAAGTGATCAAAATTCAGGCGCTTGGCGACGGGTTCATATTTATGACCATTGCTGTGTCTCAGGGTCCTTTTAGTGACCTTCTGACAAGCAAAGTCAATGGGGTGGGAGCCAGATTCACTTAACAACCGGGTTCGTAACTTATCACCTGCGGCAATTCACTTAACAGCGAAGGTCATAAAATGGGGGGAAACTCACTTAACAAACGTCTCACTTAACAACAGAAATTTGGAGCTCAATTGTGGCTGTAAGTCAAGGACTACCTGTACATTAAAATCAGATGAAAGCACATAAAATATGCCAAATTACTGTGCAGGAGGGACATTTTGTGACTCTTCATAGTCAAAGAATATTTGCCTGGCACTGTTCATCCCTCACATATGCCTCTCACGTCAGTAGGAACATATGTGTGCACAATGTCGACGGCAGATTCTCAGTCATCCAGGCTGTGGTTGTCTCAAAAGTGTTTTTTTTTTCCCCCAAAAGGCAACCGGGCTTCATTTTTTCCTTGAAGACGTTTCGTTTCTCATCCAAGAAGCTTCTTTCAGTTTTGCAGTTCTGACCGGTGGGGGATCTTCAGCCAGAACTGAAGAAGCTTCTTGGAAGGGGAGAAGCCAAACATCTTAAAGGAAAAACAAAGTCCAGTTGCCTTTTACGGGGAAAAAAAAAACCCACCTTTGGGACATAGGTGTGCACAGAACTTCTCGGGTCTCCCCGTCCCCGTTATTTTTGTGACTTTCCAAAGAAAACGAGGGAAATCTTGTAATACGTCAATCAGTAGCTACCCATAAGAATCCCATCGGATGTAGTTGGAACTGTAATGGTATATAGGGGGAAAGGAGGGAGGGGGGGAACTGAAATGCACTGTATTTAAATCCGTTTTTCTTCCTCCCCCCCCCCCCCCCCCTTTGGTCCAAAGTTGAAAAAGTGCGTTGAACTCGCGCGCCTCTTCATTTCCGAAAGCATCGCGGGGCGGAGATCGGCGGACGAGCCAAAACCCAATTCCCAACCTACCTTCTTGTGACTTCCTTGGCTCGGATCCAAACCCGAGACGGCCTCGGCCGCTCTCTCTCTCTCTCTCTCTCGATCCCTGAGATCCCAAAGGGCCAGTTCAAAGATCGCCTCTCTCTCTCTCTCTCTCTCTCTCTCTCTTTCTCTTTCTCTCTCTCTGCAATCCGCTGGGAGCCGAGAAGCGTTAAGCGGGTCGTTGCAACCCTGAGTACTCCAAGTTCTAAGAAAGAGATCCACGGACTGGACTGGACCCGGTTGGAAACCAGACCCTTTCCGAGTAGATTCCCAATAGAGATGCACGATCAAAAATCCCTGTGGGGTTTTGTTTGTTTGTTTGTTTGTTTCTTCCTTTCCCCTCCGGATTCGCGAGCTCTCCGAGCTCCGCGGCGGAGAAGACCAGAGGACTAAAAAGTGACGCGGGGGGAGAGAAAGTATCTTCGGAACGCAGGAACTCTCAAAACATTCCACGCCCTCCCTTTGATGTCGGGGGCCCAGCCAATCAGCGCGCCGCTCAAGGGAGCCAGACCATCCGGTTCTGGAACGCTCAGACTCGGCGTTCCAACCGCTTAGCCGCGCCCCCGAGGAGGAGAAGGCGACCGTGAGAGAAAGGAAGAAAACGTCAGGAAACCAATCGGAAAGGGCACAATCGGAGCTCGGGTTTGGGTTTGGGTAGGGAGTGGGCGGGCGGGCGAGAAACCAAAAAAAAAAAAAAAAAAAGGAAAAGATTCACAGATTCACAGATTAATAGAGTTTGGAAGGGGCCTTGTAGGTCATCTAGTCCAACCCCCTCCCCAAGCAGGAGACCCTACACCATTTCTGACAGAAGGCAGTCCAGTCTCTTCTTGAAAGCTTCCAAGAATGAAGCTCCCACGAATTCCGGAGTCAACTTCTGTTCCAGGGGTTGATGGTTTTCTCTGCGGACCACCGAAATTTTCTCATGGACCACCAGTGGTCCCTGGCCCGCTGGTTGGTGACCACTGTTCTAGTCCAACCCCCTGCTTAGGCAGGAAACCCTATATCATTTGAGACAAAACGGTTGCCAAGGAATGGTTGGACAGTCCTCTGTTGAGAGCTTTCAAAAGCTTTGTGACTCTCCCTGCCTCGTGAAATATATTTGTCTAATGTAGATCTTTGACGTTGTGACAGTGTCAAAATCAATTTCCAAGCTTGTCTGTTTGCAGGCAATATTTCAACCCAGTTTCATTTTCCTTCAGCCGAGCCACTTATTGTGCCGTTTGTTGACTTTAGCCTGACTAGAAGAGAGCACATTTCTCTTTCGAATTCTTATTCTTCTCTTGCACCTGTTTTATTTAAAAAGCCATCTTTTATGCCCTGCTTGGGTTTTTTTTTTATATTATTATTGTACAAAGGAAACCATGACAAAATGATTAGATATTTCAAACACTAAAGCTTAGGTAGATTAGTCAGTTCAAATATTAGAACTGAAAAAAAAAATATTGCAAGGAACAAGCGTGCCATCATGATAAGTTAATTTAAAAAGTTGTAACCGTGTTCACCAGGATAGGCACAAATCTTCACTGGAGTACGTAGAAAAAAAATGGCCTTGATTAAAAAGGTAAGAGAGAACTTTTTCGGCTTGTGATTAAGAGACTGTCGAAAGCATGTGGCACAAACAGTTGTTTTATACTATCCATGTTGCACAGCGCACCCAATACAGCATTTCATTCTTGGAACCGTGCAGATGAAATACAGCTTCCAAAACTGTAGAGAAATGGATGACAGTTTTTTGTCTCACTAATTTTTATGATTATGCCCAATATTCTTGAAAGCATTCTCATTAATAGCAATAGCACTTAGGGAGGGGGGGGAGAGGGAGAGAGGGAGGGAGGGAGATGCGTGAGAGAGAGAAATAATAGAGAGATGGATGGATGGATGGATGTTTTATTTATTTAATTTTTTAAAATAAAATTCACATGTTGCTCACCGAGAGAGAGAAAAGCCTGGTGCCTTAACTATTACAGTCCTTGACTTACGCGGTTCATTTGATGACTGTTTGAAGTTATGTCACTGAAAAAGTGATTGTGTAATCATTTTTCACACTTAATGGTTGTTGCAGCATCCCGCTGGTCACATGATCCAAATTCAGATGCTTGGTAACTGACTCATATTTATGACGGTTGCAGTGTCCCGGGGTCACACAATATCCCCTTTTACGACCTTCGGACCAGCAACATCAATGGGGGAAGCCAGATTCCATTTAATAACTTGCCAACTTAACAACGGCAGGTATTCAGCCAACAACTGTGGCACAGAAAGTCGTAGAATGGAACAAAATTCACTGAACAACTGTCTCGCTTAGCGATGGGAAACTTTGGGCTCCCTTGTGGTCCTAAATCAAGGACTTCCCTGTATAGGACATCCTCAGTTCTCCCACAGGCTAACCCTTATCCTACTTTCCTGTCCTCTGGGTGTCACAGCAGCCAGCAGAATATGGGAAATGCTTCCCCGTTTAACCGTAAGTGAGAAAGAATGGGGCCTGTGGTTCCCGCAGATTTGCATTTCGGCGCACTCCATGCGGCAACGGTTTTATGGAAACCCTGGGAGGAAAAAGGAGGCGAAAACGGCTGGAGAATTTGTTTTTAATTAAGCCATAAGGCTTGATGGTCTATCCCTGCCATGCAGTAAAATCACCCCTAGCGAAGGTTAGGAAAGGCATTTGGTTCCGATGAGCGGCTTCAAATCACCCAGATTGTGAAACGATGACGGCTCCCTGGAGCTCAGAGGAGACTGTTTTCCTTAGATTTGCCTTATTGCAAAGAAAAGGGATGCGGTGGCTCAGTGGCTAAGACGCTGAGCTTGTCACTCAGCAAAGTCGGCAGTTTGGAGGTTCGAACCCAGTGGTGGTATTCTACCGGTTCAGCCCGGTTCTGCCAAGCCGGTAGCAACGAGCAGTGGAGACCGAAACAGTTCTCTCCACTGTTCTGTTGTTGGGCCCACCTGCCTGCCCGGGCTCATATACTCACCTTTATCCTCTGAATTTGAAGCGCAGCTGCTTTGCGCGGCACAGAAGAGTGCCACGTGGCGGCTGCTTGAAGTGACCGAGATCGTGCAGGCTTGCGGGAGGTGAGTTAGAACACCTTTGCACCTGCACAAAGTGCGTGTTTTGCAAAGCGCACCCACACCAAGCCACACCTACCGAACCATTCATAAAAATATTTGAATCCCACCACTGTTCGAATCCCTAGCGCCATGTAACAGAGTGAGCTCCCGTTCCTTGTCCCAGCTTCTGCCAACCTAGCAGTTCAAAAGCACATAAAAAAAAATGCAAGTAGAAAAATAGGGTGGGAAGGGAACAGCGTTCCATGCGCCTTCGACATTTAGTCATGCCGGCCACAGGACCACGGAGATGTCTTCGGACAGCGTTGGATCTTTGGCTGGGTGAATCTGCATTTCCGTCTTTAATGCTTCCACCCATTCGTTCTCGCCCTACCCTTGAGAGCTATAGAGGATAAATCTCTCCCTTCTTTCTATTCTTTCTTTTTTAAAAAAATCATTTTTATTACATTTTTTCAAAGATACAAATCTCATTCTTGTTTGTGACAACGTTTTGGCATCGACAAATACATATATCTTAAGTACCTTATTATATACATCATTATCATATACATCAACACATATCTATGTCTTGTATATCATATATATATATATATATATATATATACATATATCTTATATATCTTACTATAAATACATCTATGTTAACAATCTCTTAAGGTCTCTTACTTTATTTACAATACTCCATTCTTCCTAATCTTTGTATCTATTTTATTGTGTAATATTCGGAATTCTCCTTATCTTTCATTTCTAATGTGAGCTTATCCATTTCCGCGCACTCCAATACTTTTTGTATGACTAGATCTTCCGGGGGAATATTGGCTCCTTTCCATAATTGTGCGAAAGCTATTCTGGCTGCTGTCAAAATGTGTAGAATAATATATTTGATCTTTTTAGATTAAATCTCTCCCTTCTTTCTAGTGACAGCTCTTCAACTATTGGAAGTTGACTGTTGTGTTGCTCCTCGCCCTTCCTTTCTTTAGGCTAAGCGTAGCCAGTTCCTGTAACTGTTCTTTAGCCTCCAAACCAGACATTTTCAAGCTTGGCAGCTTTTTTGATGTGTGGACTGCTGGCTGGAGAATTCAGGAAGTTGAAGTCCACCCATCTTAAAATTGCCAAGTTTGAGATACATTGCTTAGTCTAAGCTCTTTGCTGTCCTGACTATTCCTTTTATTTTCTCTAGAGTATTTGGCATGCATAAGCTGAATTCTAAGTGCTTGCAAGATCCAGGGCTTTCTATTTGGCCAGAGCCAAGCAGAATGAAAGTGGAGGCATGAGACATAGAGCCTTTTAAAGAAAATCTAATTCCAAAGGTTTCTCCGTGCGAAATGGGCTTTTTGAGAGATTCCAGCAGACGTGGCCAGCGACACAGGAATAGATGTAGTTCTCTTTTTATCATCCCAGGTTCTTCTGGGGGACTTGTTTAATTATAGGTAACTAAAATTGCCTTATAATATAGTTTCTGGAATTGGCAGAAGAGTTAGTTAGAGGATGTAGGGAGGTGAAAGTGTGCTCTGACCCCTTGTGGGAGGAATAGGAACATCCAGGTTTGCAAAGAATTATCGGGCAGGAGATGGGGAAAATCTTGAGACGGGTTTTATGATTGGAACCTGAGAGTTGGAGAGAATATAAATCAATGGATGCCTGTATCAGTAATGATTGCGGTACGCTACATAAACCTGGATCATTCTTATTCCTTATAATGTAGAGGTGGTTTTGCTTAAAAAAAATGGAAGCAACTGGACTTGAGCTATGCATCAGGAATACTTCTTGTTTTGCGGGTTAGATTCTGCATGGCCCAGAGAACTGAAATACAAATAACATAAGTAGTCTTTGGTTTACAACTGGTTGCTTATACTTACAATCAGGGTTGGGATTCAAATTTCTTAACAACTGGTTCTGTGGGCATGACCTAATTTGTAGGTGTGGCTTGGTGGTCACGTGACTGGCTGGGCAGGGCTTGTATGTAAGTATTGTAAATATTTATGCAAATATTGAATTTTTTTTTAATAAATAAAAAAGAGCAACTTTTACCCCAAAGCAGGCAGGCAGATTGAGTTGCTCAGAGAATCACAGATTCACTCAGAGATCTACCTTTCTGCAATCTGCTACCTGAGTCTGCACTGAAAAATAGAAGCTTCAGTCCTAACGAAGGTTCAGCTCTGCTTTTAGATTAGCTAGAAAGCAAGAAAACCAACAATTTCCTCTTTTCCAGCTAATCTAAATCTCCCGGCGCAGCGGAACAGCTGATGGTGGGTATGGGAAGGAAAAATAGCAACTTACCAAAGGCAAGTTGGATGGCATACATGGGAAGGTTAAGGAGTGAGTGGGTGGGCAGGGCCAGCCAGTGTCACAATTTGCCGGTTCCCTGAACTGTGCAGAATCATAACAACCGGTTCTATAGAACCAGTCTA